TACGCTTCTGCCACATTCATGGCGTTGAAGTCGCTTTTATTCTTTTTTTCTGCCATTTTGAAGCTGAAACCATTCTACGTTCAAAGACTTGAAGCAGAGAGAAATATATATTAGTAGTGACAGGAAGCTGACGAAATTGAAAACTTCGTACACTAGCAATGCGTGCTTGACTAGAATGTCCGAACTTTCCCGGTTTGTTTACATCATAAGTCACGTGAAACTACACGTGAAATTTAACGCCGAAAAGGTGAATTTAATAATCCTGACGCATAGATTAGGAGATAATTTAAGTGTATAACCGTACCATCATTATCAACCTGTCCGACTTGAAACCTCCAGAATCCATGGCAGACATACCCCACTTTTGTTTCGAGTGATGCCTACTGTTATCCGCCAAGATTGCCGCCATGTTTTACGATAGCTGCAGAACTTCTCGCGCGCTTATTGGGCTAATTTTCATTGTCAATAAGCGGACAGACAAATGAATTTATAATTTATGCGTTGCGTCAACGGGCGAGAGCGGGCAATTTGACAATTTGTTATCGTAAAAAACGAATCGATGTCAGATTTTTAAGCGTCTGTCCCCTTAAAGATGATAAATTTCGTCATAACATTGTAAATGTTTACTACGGAACCACTCGCCTGCGGCTTGTGGTTTCACAGCCACTTTGACAATGTTGTGACGCAATTTATTATCAATAAGAGGACAGACGCATAAAAAACTGACGTCAATTTGTTAATTTGATTGATTATGTTAAACCGCAGGCCAATGCAGGCTCAGCCCATAGTACATTGTACAGCCCAGACGGGGGAGGAGGCGGGAAGTTGTCTGTGTTTCCTATTTACTCGATGTCCCGGGATTTATGTTTTTTAAAACATCCTATATCCCAGAAATGCTTCCCCCAATTAACCGGGAGAGTTCAAAGGTCCATGGACCCCCTCCGTGGACCTGGTTCATCGACCGCGTCCATGGACCCCCTATTTTTACTACCCCTAAAATACTATAGTAAACAATAATGAAATATAAATAAAATAAAATAAAATAAAACAAGTCAGTAAATTGAAAAAAAAAAAAATGAATTCACAGTAATATTTCAATTTTATATTCAACTACTTTTCAACTTTGTAATTTTTCATAAAGTCACATTTTAATAGGATTTCTTTAGTCTTCACTTACATGTAAACTAGAAAAAAAAAAAAAGAAAAAAAACATCAAAACTATAAGATAAAAAGACCTACAAGGAAACTCATAGGAATTATAATTAAAAGAGCAGTGCTTACTTTCGTCCACGTCGGCCATGTGGGGGTCCATGCGCCAGGGGTCCATGTTTTGTACTCTCCCCAAATGTCCTGTCCCGTCTACTTTTCACCTAACTATATACACCCTCTGGCCCGGAAACCACAAACAGGGCCTCACGGGGGCCTATTTTCCCCTACTATTCGTAATTTTGTAGTCCATTGGCGTACGTGCTAAGAGCTCGAGTACCTGTGGTTTCATATACAAACACTGACAGAATCACTGTTCCACCGCTACACTCAGGTTTACACATCGGGTTCATTTTAATTGCTTGTGGATAACTCTCTTCCGCTACATGTCATTCGAAACGTTACTAAATCCACCAATCGCTGAAAGCATATCTAAACCCTTGTCATTGTTTACGCATGATTAACCAATGACAGCCTGAGAACAGATTGACGTGTACATTCTTCCAGTAAGGTCGTGAGAATTGACCTTTGATCAGGTTTTTTCCTTGTTTCGCTTGGTAAACTATATCGGGTCAAAATAAATAAAGTACTTATGAAAAAACGCGCGTGATTCGTCCAAATTGAGCCACACGCATAGGCACATTTATGTATAATTTTCTAGTATCAATAATTAACGTTCGCAAGAAAACTCACGTAGAAACATGAAGCTTTATCAACATAGCAAAATTTAGAGGAATAGAGGCGCACAGAAATTCAACACAGGGGTAAGGTAACTCATTTTTGCTACGCTTTCTACCATTTTTCTGGCAGCCAAGCGCGTTCGTTGCATTTCCATCCAAACTCCGTCACGTGTACACAGATATACATGCCGCTCCCACAGAATTAACCTGGGCTGCCTGTGCCTTAAGTAGGGAAATGTCTCGTTACCATATCCCATAAGACAACAACTAAGATACGAATACCGCGAATCAGTTAAGGAATACTTTCCAAGACCTGGTCTTGCAAGAAAATTGCAAGTTTCATTAAATATGCACTGATTCTATAATTGAAATAGTGAACAACATTGGGTTGACAAGATCAAGTATACCGTAGCGTGGGTACGAAGGTCAGGTGGGGGGGGGTTACTCGTCGGATTTTTCGGAGGGGATATGTCTCCCGGGTTTCCATTTCCCCTAATTCTTCAAGCCGACCTTTCGTGCACCTTATTTTAGACTTGACTCTGTTTAAAAAAAAAAAAATTCTATACCCAATACATTTAAGACTGTAGTGAACGTCTAAATTGTGTTTGCTGTTGTTTAATCTCAAATTTACTAGTTTAGAAAAGACCTACTTTCCATTTTCCTGAACTCGTTGTGAAGTTATCGCAGCCCCGCCTCCCNCGAAAAAAAAAAACGGGACTGCAAATTCAACGAGCCACTCACCAATATAGCAAAAAAACAAAAACAAAACAATGTTGAATCAAGAAAGGCCCCGAACGCAAGATGATTTTCATTGTGTTGCCTTAATTAATCTGTTATTCCAATCCCCTCAAACCCACCGGAAACGATGAGAGGCGACTGCATTCGCCGGCTAATCAAACAACAGAGTAAGAAATTGAAAGGGAAAGCTTCTCAGACCATGATCTATTTCAATGATAACTGGAACATATGTAGAGTACAGAACAAGTCTATTTTGATATTCAGTTATGCGATAACTAAGTCACGGCAGCTACTTTCAAAGGCTGAACCACAAACAAGTAAACATGCCATTTTTGTCAATGTTTTTTATTTATTTTATTTTTATTTTATTTATTTAAACATATTTGTTATTGTTTTCCCCCAAAGCACCTAGGCTTATCAAGGGGGATTACAAAATTAGAATTCCTACTGACTTCATTTATTCAGGCTCACACACAAACAACACACAAAAATTGCACTGAAAACAACAGCTTACACATCTAGAGATACGTAACAGTGGCCACTGATTAGTATTAATTATAAAACTTTGTACTTCTCGAAAAAAAAGCACAGTTGACATCGTAAGTCACAGACTGAACACCGTACAATAAAAAATTTAGTTTCCCAGCGTCGCTGCTCGATGACCATGTTTCACGGAGAATATTAGCAGTAATGAGCCTCAATGTTTAGTTTTCCATGTCAGAATTTACAGTTTACCAGGGCGAAGAATGACAATGTCAATTGCTGTTTGTGAGCATAATTCGTAAATTATGGTTACATAAACTAAATGGCTATTTCTCTGAGCGTCAAAAGTAATTGAGTCGTAGTTGACAGTCGTTTTGATTCAACATTACCGCGCTTAGTGATTGGTTTAAAAACACTCGCGCCACTTTCTCGTCCAATCAGAAATAGAACTGAAACCAATCGTGAATCACTTGTAAACGTTTAACCTGCGACAAGTGTCGGCTACATGCACTTGCTTTAATTATAAAGAGCTTTAAATTTTGGTTTTGAGTCGGGGTTAGTAAAACAAAGTTAACCGATTTTTTGCTACACACAGTCATAGGGTCGCCATCTTGAACAATTTGGCGAGGCGAGGGAAATCTGAGAAGAGGACAAAACTGCTCCTTCTCGACTCTTACTACAAGAGTTTTGTTCGTTCGCCATGCATTATTCAAGATGGCGACTCCATGATCGAACGTCACAGTCGGACGATTTCAGCGCTAAAGCATTTGAGCTGTTTGCACTCTAGTTGAAAAAATGTTGCCGAAAAGTTTCGATCAAAGCAGATATATATTTAATTTGTTTCGAATCAACAACCGTCAACCGGGAGCGAAAAATTTAATGAAAGCTCCCTGCGTTTTTCAATAAACGGGAACAGAAACATAGCAGGGGCTATTTCTTCTCCGCTCATGCATAGCCTTTGCACAAATTACATATTTAGTATGCACAACAGAAAAATTGACCAATAACTATTTCTTTGTGATTGCTTCCCCAGCCAAATCCACTCGCATAAAGTTATCTTCTAAACAAAAATGTCATTGTCGAGGTCTTTTTTTGCTGTAATAGTCAACGATAAACGAAGAATTAGGAACATTCGCACAGTCTATTTAATCAAGCTTATTGCAAACGCCGAATTCCTGTAGTGAAGAGCCTTGTCTGACCGGTGGCATCTAGAGACCGACTCATTTTCATGTATATTAAGGTTATCATTTTTCATGTCTCGCACGTTGAGGGGGGTAAATACGCGACATTTTTGCAAGCTCGCCTAACAGGATTTCTTTGACGGTATTTTTACTGGGTTCCTTCACTGCAAGATCGATAAACAACACGAAATCTGCCTGCCACTTCACCAACTGTACTGAGTTGAATTCTCGCATTTTCAAGAACTTCAAGAATGTGAAAATGAAGGAAAAGAAAACATAGCAAGCCAGCGTTGCGCTTGCAAGCCTACAGCTCTCTTCTGACCCCTTTGCTAAGGAATTTGTTATTTATTTTGTCGACTTAAAGATGGCCTTGATTAACAATCGCACAATTTCTACAGAGCTCTTTTTGGAAACACACAAAAGGCTTGGAGCTCCTTTGTTAGCAAGTAGAAGTGGAACCGGAAAAGTTTCCAAATGAGATCACATCACAAGCGAAACAAGAAATTCAGAAGTCAGTGACTTCGTGTTTTTGAGAAAGAAATCACTTTGCTTTGAGTTCAGTTCCTTATACTTCCTCGGTATAGAAGGCTAGGAAATCGTAATAAAGTTAATGTTTATTTATTGGTTGGTATTGCATGTTTGACTTGACAATTAAATGCTTTGCTTTTCGATTATTATGGCTGAGCACGAAAAGAAACGTTAGCAACCCTTCAGCAAATCGCTTTCTTTTCAGATTTGCATAACAGCAGGTCAAAAGTTTAAAATAGAAATACAATGAAAGTTTTTTAAAAAATCAAAAAATATATTCGTTTGCTTGAGTCAAGTCAGCATGGCCTAAACTTAATTTCGCGTAGTGTCTCCTAAATGTGGTTGTGAGATTAGCTTTCGAGTATGAAGAATGAAGTTAACTTCTCTCCGATGTTAACCATTGTCCGTAAATAAAGGCACATAAAAGAATGCAAACGCCATTCCACCTTTTTGATTCACAAACCCTCAGGGAGGACAAATTCTTGAAATGTTTCATTCCCTTCGAGGCGTGTTCATAGATGAGCTCTTTGATTGTTCTTTAAACCCAATCTTTCGAGAACCTTTGTGATCTCGGGCCTTGCTTTGTCCGTAGGAGGCGACGCGGAACTACATAACATATTCAATTTGAGCTCTACAGCCGTCTGCCACGCAAGTGGGAGCTTGTCTTTGAACTTGCGTGCAGCCTGCAAGCAGCTCGAGTAAGCTCGAATAGTGACGTGCAGGTTTCATCCAAGCGAATTCCAACGACTGTAACCTTACATTTGGCAAGGATAGCGTGACGTTTGGGTAAGTGAAAAATCTACACATATGTTTGTGATCGAACATTTCTTGCAGCCCTGTAAAACGGGGCGGTGGTTTGCGTTGCCGTACAAGATATCTTGTCTTTGGGTAAAGCGGAGGAATTTTCCCCGCATTTCTTAATTTGGAGGGCTAGAAATTAGCAACTAGTGTTGCCCAGGAATACCCACTGATCTAATTGGCTGAGCACGCGGAAAAATGTTTATTTTTTAGCGATTTGTGCTGCCCTGAGAAAGTGCTGATGCAACTTTAGCGCGCAGCGAGAAATTATGTCTAAACGCATTTGCTATGTAAAAATGTAGTTCCAATCTCTATTACTGCGCTCTGCAAATTACAAAGTGTTTCTTTCTCTTCCCAGTCGCAAAACGAGATGGTAACTTAATGTTCCATGCCAGTTTAGTCTGGAGTGAAAATAGAGTAAAGAAGACCGCTATAGTTTCTACTTTTTTTTCGCTGGGTTTAAAGACGACTGGAAGGTATCTTCACGCATGGCCTTATGACTCATCAGCAATTTTTGGGCTTGATACTTAAACATTGCGTACAAGTTAATTGCGTTATTTGAACCTTGGCTCTCGCGCAAAAAATACCCATGTGCAATATTTACAAGTGATGTCGATATTTATTCAAGGAGCGTTGTTTACTTACAACTAAATTTTCACGTATTAGTCATCAAATATTTATCCAGTCTGGCCGTTCTTCCAACAAACGTAGGACTCTTTCATTGATGAACTCGACGCAAACAGCTGTCTCAGATATTTCAAGAAACCAAGTCAGCTCTGGAAAATTCTCGATGCAAATTTCGGAAGCCATTCATTTTCCATGCTTAGTGAATGTGTCACAACATTTGTCAAAAGTTCTCGAAAGTATCTCTTTTTGTAATAATTAAATGTTGACGAGTTTTAAGGAGTGAAAGATAAGAGTTGTAAACAATAAGAACAGATTGCGTGCTTTTACAGGGCCCTCGTACTGCAGCACATTTTTTTGTTTTGCTACACAGTAGTTGTTTCTAAGGAAATTGCCGAGCAGGTCACCGAGAACAAAACTTACTCGCAGTGTTATCGATTATGCAAGTTTTCTGTTGAAAAGCGGAAATTTGTTTTTTGAGCACCCCTCAAACTTTCACCATCTTCTCTGATCTGAATAACACGAACCTCTCTCGTCAATTAGCCTTAATCCTATGAAGCAAAAACACACACGAAAGGCTCGATCCGTTTACCGATGCTAAACTTAAGCTTATTCACTGTTTCGTGTTGTAAGAATGGGCACAAAAAAATCGCTCAAGTGTACCACATTCTAAATCTGTACAAGTCTGGTCAAATTGTGAACAAGATATTCTGATCACGTTTGCAGAATAACGGTCACTTAATCTTGAAATTTGCCATTGTAGATGAAAATACAACTGCTACATTGTCATGATAATGTAACTCTTGATGTGCAATGAAGTTCTTATTCAACCCATAAACAAGTCCCATGAGGCACTGTGTTTTATGGCCGGTGCAAACCATTCTTGCTTTGAGCGGGCGATAAACATGCACACCAGTGGTTCTGATATACCAGTTGCAAACTTTTTTTTTCTCTTCTACTCTGGAAAGTGGAAACTTAATTGAGTGAGCATACCTTTCAACCAAGACGGTTTGAGCGACATGTTTTGACAAATTCCCCACTATAAAGGAATTCGGCTACAATAATTATGCTCTTAGATAAAATTTTTTGGAAGCCAAAAACTCGGTATAACGTCGATATTTCTAGCTCTTGATTCTTCAAACCTCTCGATTATTCGAAACAAACTTTGCTCCCTTGGCAAAAATTGAAAGTAGAAATTTATCCTCGACGTTTCAAACCTCTCGAGTTTTCGAACCAAGTTTCGCTCCCCTCGGTGGTTCGAGAAGTCGAAATTGCGCTGTGAACATACTTTTCCGAAAAGGCTTGAAATGAAATTATTTAACAACACGCACATCTATGCTTTTCGATTCAAAAAGCCAACAGGGATTTTTGAAGATTGAAGTTCAAAGAGATGATAAATAACTCACCTTTAATTCGAAATTCAAAGCTTTTTCCAGTGTTTTTCAAGTCTTCAAACTTCCCAAGTTGTTCACTGANGAAAATCTAATGACTCGATTTTCTACAAATAAACAAAACCGATTTTAAAGGCCTGTTTATATTTATTCATGTTGCCATGACAACGGCACATACGTCAGCCATCAAAAAACCAAAGTTTGTGTCGGTAACTTGCTTGCTGCCATTATTGGCGACCGAGGGATCAAGGGTTTTAGAGGAAAAGGTGAATGAAACACAGGTATCAAAAACCGTGTTTAGCCACCTTAAGCACGTGGACACTTAATCTATTAACACTGATTTATATATTTGGATTTAGATGCCTTTTAAGTTTTAGGTTTTTTTTACATTCCGGTCAACGTGACTGGCCAAACATGGCGGTGATTTGAAACTTTTGAAGGAATCTTCAATGGAAGAAACCTGTGCAAAAAGCTTATTTTTCAAAATGACGGTTAGAAACCTTACTTAGCAACAAATTCATGACCAATTGGTAGTTAAGGACTCCTAAATGTTTGCTTTGTTTAGTTTTGTCCGAAAAATACTGATTCCCCAAGAAAACATTACACCAGCTTTCCATAAGTGAAGAGAAAATGTTGCTACTTACCAGGGAAATTAGGAAAGCATGTTAAGTTCGTAACCTTTTTTGTTTACATGAACGACGAAATTCCCGCCCTTTTTTCAAACTTGGAGCCTAGCGTGCGGCCAAAAATCGCGCATGATAAAAACGACTTTCCGCTCTGAAGCCTAGTGGCCCATCAGGTTGGAGCTTAAGTTCTGTTTCCGTACTATGAAGCGACAAAGAGTATTTTGACGACCCCCCCCCCCCGTCCCCACCCCCAACCTGGATAGAAGGCTAGTCCATTGCAGATGTTTTCATGGAGGTACGGAGAGGGTCGTAAATAGAAACAGTCGAGAGAGAATTCGAAACAGCCACTCTTGTTTCCAAAGTTACCATAACTCGAAAATCAAAGACGCTGCATGTAACAATGTTTTCCCGACTTAGAAAGGATTACATACGAACAAGAAGCTAAAAACTGGGCGGTTCAAAATTTTGGATGTTACGTGCAAGTTAAAGGTTACTGCTTTTCCTCTCAAACAATAAAAGAATAAAGGTTGCATACTTCACAATCCACTCCACAAAACGCACACCAAAATAGAAGTGGTTCTTAAGCTCGTTTCCCGTAAATTAATTAATCAAATATTTTCAGGCATAGAGGGAGACCCAAAAGATAATTGGTCATTTTTTCATTACTTTGCATTGCAGATTGCCAGACGATATCCTTTCATCCGGAGTCGAGGAAGCTATATCAACTCTTCAAGGAAAGACCGAGATAGTGAACTTAGCATCATGTCTTCTCGACGCCGTACTACTGGCAGGAACTTGCCCGCAGACCCTCGGACCACAACGGTCATCAAAAATGAAGAAGCTGGCATTGCGTTGATAACGGCGACCAATCAAGAGTGGGAAGAGGAATACCAAAGATTGCTTCTCGAGCACCGAGACTTGAAGGAAAACTACGACAAAGTGGAGAGCAAGTACCAAGAAATCCAGAAGGAAAATGTGAAAGTAACGAGGCATATGGAGCTCTCAATTGAGAAGTTCAACCGAGAAAAAGACGGCCTCATTCGACAAAAAGAGGAGCTTAACATTCAAAATGAGAAACTGCGGAGCGATGTTCGCGAAAAGGGTGGCAAGATTGGCGACTTGCAAAAGGCTCTAGTGGAAAGCCAAAAGAAGGCCGATTCTCGCAAGGAGGAGCTGTTCACCAAAACCAAGCAACTAGAGAAGTTGGAAATTCTCATCAACGGTCTTCAGAACCACACCATTCCAGAACTGAAACAGAAGCTCAACAAGTCTGAGGCTGACATGGAGATATTCAAGGAGAAAAGTAAACAGCTTAACGTGGATCTTGATAAGGCTGAAGAAAAGAATGATGAAGATCAACAGACCATTGAGAAACTACGCAAGGAGAAGAACGAACTTATCGAGAAGCTGGCTAGGGCCGAACGCGAGACGAGGGAGGCCGAAGACGCGCGCCATAAGGAAGAAGACAAGGTAGTCAACCTGCAAAACAAAGAAATATCGCTTCACGACAAGATCAGTCAGTTGGACGCGGAACTTCTCGCTGCGGAATCAAAGATAAGAGACTTGGAAAACGAGCTGAACAGGCGGCTGGCCGAACCAGTCGAAAAGAGTTACAACATCAATGTAGTGGAAAGTGAACCAGCACTTCAGTCAGCTCCACCTAGCTTTTCGTTTGGAGATCACTACGACAAAGAGCAGTTCGAGATGTTGGAGAAAAAAGTAAAGGACCTGGCAGATAAGAACAAGCGATTTGAAGACGAGAACTTAGGCTTGAAGGGGAAACTCGATATGGCCAGTAAGGATATCAACAAGTGGGAGAAAAAGTATGAAGACGAGAACAGGGAGAAGAGTAAGATTGCAGCTCTGCTTGAAAATGAAAAGGGGAATTATGGACGGCTCAAGAATGAGTACAACGAGTTGAAAAGCCAGCTGGCGAAGGCGGAGAGGACGATAGAGCATGATAAGAAGGAGATGGCTAGAAAGGACAGAATCATAGAAGAACTGAGGGCGAAAATTCTGCAGCTGGAGCAAGACGTCGAGGATCGAGAGGGCACCATTGCCAAGCTTGAAATGAAGCTAGAGCAGTTGGAGAAAGAAATGGAAAAGCTGCACGAGGCCACTTTGGAACATCAGAAAAAATATGGCGATCTTGATAGTGATTATAAAGTCAGTGAAAAAGAGAAAGAGTCCGTACAACGAGATCTCGACCAAGTATCCATAAAAATTGCTGAGTTGGAGAGTAAGTTGAGAGAATCTGAAGAAGAGAAAAACTACTTGCATAAGGAGAACGCAGATCTTCGACAGAAGCGGTTGCGCTTGGAAGATGACTTGGACACTATTAACAAAGATAAAACAGTGTTTGAGAATCAAGTCCAAGACTGGTCTGACCAAAGCAGCAAACACCGCAAGATAGCCGACAATATGAAAAAGAAACTGGCTCAAGCTCAAGACGAGGCAGAGCAGTACAAGAAAGAACTGGCGCAGAACAACAACAAGATAGACGAGTTGAATAAGAAATTGTTCGACCTCAACTCGCTTTATGATACGAGCCAGACAGACCTTTCAAGTGCCCAGGACAATAGCGCGTTCAAAGATGACGAAATAAAGCATTTGAATAAGAAGATTGACAACAAAGAGAATGAAATTAGCAAGCTTGAAGCTCAGCTAGAGAAGACGACAAAAGAAAGGGACAATGCTGAGGTTGAACTTGCTGGTGTCCTGGAAAAACTTCAGCATATGGAACCAAAACGAACAACAAACGATGAAGTCTTCAAACCAGCCGAGGTGACCTATTCTTACCAGCAACCAGACTTGGAAACTGACCTAGCACCCCTCCGTCAGAGAATCGACGAACTTGAAAATGAAAACAACAGGTTGAAAAAGATTGAAGAACATCTCCAAAGCGACATCAAAGACAGGTTAGTCCAAATCGCTGCACTGGACAGAGAGAATACTAAGGTCAAAGCAGAAAATGAAGACTGGGAGAGAAAAGCAAATGATATGAAGAGAAAAATACACGCCCTGGAGAAAGAGGAAGATGAACTTATGGACACCAATACCGACCTACGCGAAAGACTAGATGACCTGAGTCCAGAGGTTGACAAGCTGCAGAAAAAGGTAGAAACGTTAACCCTTGAGCGCGACAGACTGAAGGAATATCTCAGCGAGTCGAACTTCAAATTCACCCAGAGCAAAGAAGATTACAACAAAAAGAGTCTGGATTTCTCGGAGCAGGTAAAAGTAAACAGCACGCTTGGGAAGACTGTTAAGAAGCACGAAGCTACAATGGAATCATTGACCCAAAAATGCAAAATGCTGGAAGAAGAACTAGAAGATTTGAGACCGGAATTGAAAGCAGCATTGGCGAAAAATGAAACATTGGAGACCGAAAACAAAGAGTTGGATTCTCGCAATAAAATACAAAAACGCAAGATAGACGACTTGCAAAAAGAACTACGAGAAGAGATCGAAGCAAAGGAGTTGCTGCAACAAGATGTCGACTCATTGGGCTACAAGTTGAACGTCGCAGACGCAAACAACAAGGCACTAACCAAGCAAAGAAATGATTTGCAAAGTCAGATCGACGACCTGGAAAGCAAACTAAGGAAAATCAAGCCAGAGCTCGAACAATGTCGAAACAAGCTTAAAGACAAAGATCGCATCATAAGTCGATTGCAATCAGATTTGAAAGACAAGGATTCGCAGCTTACCGCAGCCAAACGAAAGATCAATACTCTGGATGAGACATGCACCTCATTAAGAAAAGAGGCAGAGGCTCATAAGAGTGCAAGTGAAATTAACCGAAATCGCGTAAAGGAGCTTCAAATTCAGCTTCAGGAGATGGGTAACAGCATGCAGACAGCCGTGGCGAACGTCTCCGTCGTTCATTCAGCACCACCACAAAGCTTCAGAGAAGAAAGGCTCCGCAGTACACCTGACGAAAGGATTCACGACTTGGAGACACTGCTGAAGAAGAGCGAGGCTCGTGAAGATCAGTTAAGGGATCAGCTGCAACGCCTTGAGAACCGTCTTCCTATAGCAGAGAAGGACGCTAAAAAAGCTCAAGACAAAATAAGCGAGCTTCAACCTAGTGTAACCAATCTACAAAGGAAACTGGAGGACCTAAGAAAAGTGTTAGACAGAAGCAACCGTGAAAAAGAAGATGCCAAAAAAGAGTTGATGGAGGCTCAAACACAACTGACAGTTTTGAAAACAAAAGGCGAGGCGGACGCGAATGAAATCTCATCCTTGAAAAGTCAGTTAGAACAAGCCAACCGACGTCTCGCAGAGAATCATGAAAAACTGCTAGCTATTGACGAGGAACATGTGCATCTTCGCTTGCTTGTAGATGGTCATAATAAAGACAAGGACGACCTCAAGACAGCGTATGAGAGATTGCAAATAAAAAAGAACGAACTGGAAAACACGGTGGAAATAAAGGAGTCCAATTTGAAATCAAGCCAACATGCTTGCGACACGTTAAGAGAGGAGAAGATTAAGGCACAACAGGAGCTTAACGAACTTCGACGGACAACTTTAGCTGACTTAAAGAGAAACCTCACCCGCATGCAAGGTGAGCGAGATCGTGCTTTGGAAGACGGCAGGATGGCTATGTCGAAAATAGAAGATCTTGAAAATCAGTTGGCAGAGGCCATGACGAAACGAAAAGAGCTAGAAAGGGACAACGACGACCTCGAAGCTGAGATACGCCAACTGAAGAACGAAATTGAAACGAATCGTAAAAAGATTGAGGACCTGGAGGATAAAATAGAAGTATTAAACCTTGAACTCGAGAGAGACGAGAAAGATATAGATTCTTTGAAGGAAGAAAAAATCAAGCTCGAAGATGAGTGTGCAGACCTCCAAGTTAAACTGGCAGAGAAGCAGGATGTTATTAACATCGCTCCGATGCAAGTCGCCAATGTAGAAACAACCTACGCAGCCGCCCCCGGGTTTGATTTCGGTTCAGATCCAGACGCTTTAAGGGATCTTGAAGATGAAAATATGGATCTAAAAGAGAAGCTACAAAGAGGTGAAATGGAATACGACGTTCTGCGAGAGCAACTAAATGACTACAAGAACAAGCTGGGAGACTCGGAGGGCAAGTGCCAGCGTCTTGAGACAAACCTTAAAGACAAAGACAATCGCCTGCAGGAGCTTGAAAAGACGTTGCCAGAGGCTGTGGAGGAGCTAAATTTGGTAACTGATAAATATCATTCAGCGGAACGCGAACTAGAGCTCTTAAAGGATGAGTTACAAGACGCACAGACCAAGTTAAGTTCTGCTGAAGCACAACAAGCTGCTGGATTTGCCAAACTCAGAACACTGCAGCAACAACTAGAAGCTGCCCAGAAGGACTTGCTTGACAAGAATGACGATGTTATCGAAAAACAACGTAAAATCAACGAGCTCTACGCTATTCTGGAGAGCGGAGGCAAGGACTCAGATCGCTTGAAGCAAGTTATTGAGGAGTTGAGAGAAGATGTTGACCTTAAAGACAGAGAGAACGCAAAACTACAGAAGGATATTCGCATCACTCAAGAAAACCTCGCTAAACTTCAAGCAGCCTTGGAGGACATGGAAGGCAGGTTAAATGACACAGAGAATGAGCGAGAAGAATACAAAATGAAAGCCGATGGTTTAGAGGTAGAGATCGAAATGCGCGATAAAGTACTGGAAGAGGCACAACATGAAGTAGACGAAACCAGGGACAAGTTGAAGGCAGCCAAGAAAGAGATTGACGCCCTTCGTAGTCAACTAAAAGAAGCAAATGTCAGCTTAAAGGCAGCCACTGATGAGAAGAGGATCCTTGAGAAACGAATTGCCGAACTGCAAGCAATAATTGAACAGCTGAGGAAAGAATTATCTGCTAAGAATACAGCGATTACTCCTAAATCTGGAACAAGCGATGCATATCTAAACGAACTTAGGAACAAACTTGCAGAGTACCGAACAAAATATCAGGAAGTTTGCAACGAAAAGATGAGACTAGAGCTGGAACTGCGAGAAAAAGATGTCAAGATTTCACAAGTTTCTGGTCCATCGGATACATTACGCGAAGAGCGAGACCGTCTTAAAGACGAAGTTATAAAACTGCAAGGCACTCTCAAAGAAACAAAGAAAAACTATCAAAAAGCTCAAAGGGATATAGAAGAACTACAACGTCGCTTGGTGTCAAAGGACAGCGAAATAAAGCGCTCGGAAGATAAAATTGCAAAACTAGAGGAGGAAAAAGAAAAAATGAAGAAAGACTATGCCAACTTGGAGAAAAAGAACTCGGATTTGAAAGTTGAATACGAGAAGCTCAAATACGAGAAGAACAAGGCAGAAAATGAACTTTCTCTGCTAAAGAAGAAATTCCAGGCTCTGCAAAACCAGATCAACACAGTGGATGTGCCCAGGCAGAAGCAAGACGTTGTGAGCAGAAAGAAGTATCAAGAATTGGAGGCAAGTTGTCAGGATGCACTGCGTGAAAAGGAGAGGGCAAAGAGTGATATGGCTGCTTACCGAACTAAGATGGCAAGGTTGGAAGCCGAGATGAACGAACAGAAGAGAGAGAAAGACGTTTTGGAAGATGAAAAGCATCGTCTAAGGAACAGCGAAGCTGAGCTTAAAAACAAGCTCCAAACATCGAGAGACAGACACAAGGAAGACAAAGACAAGATGCTGGAGTGGCGTAAAAACAATTTCTCACCCTTAGAGCAAGAACTTCAGAGAACCAAAGGACTCATCAAAAAGCTCGAAAAGATGAACGCAGCCAAAGACCACGAAATTGGAGATTTGAAGGACGATCTTGCAGATCGTGATAGGAGAATTGCCGAGTTGGAGGACGAACTGGAAAATCAGGATGTCACTGACGCTGGGCCACTAGACTCAGTTAACATAGACATCAGAGGAGACTCAGAAGCACTTCAACGGGCTCTGGATGAAAAAGCAGATGCGGTGAAAGAAGGTCAGAGGTTGAAAAGCAAATTGTGGACTATAGAGCACGACATGGAAATTCAGAAGACAAAAGAAGCTCAGCAAGAAAAAATGGTAGCTGAAGTGAATAACATGAACGACAAATTGAAGGACGAAATACGACAGCTAAAGAAAGGAACTTGGGACCAACAAGGGTCATACAACAAGCTCATTAAAGAGAATAGCGAGCTCGCCTACCAAGTTAACACGTTGAAAGAAGACAAAGAAGACTTGGACAAAGACATTCAAGAACTCCGCGATGAGCTGAACGACGTAAGAGGAGAAAATAGAAAATTAATGATAGAGAACAAAGACCTCAAGATGGACCTGCAGCAGTTAGAAATCAAGCTGCACGAATTGGAAATTGGACACAAGCTTGCAAAGGACGACAACGAGAAAATCAGGAGTGATCTGTTACAGACTCAGAGCGAGAATGCAGATTTGAAGGACAGCTTGAACAGGCGTGATGATGAAATGATCCAGGTGCAAGCAGTAGCTACAGTGGAAAGTGCCCCACCCATGATGTTCGAAGATGACGTGGATGGAATAAAACGGGACAAAGACAAACTGCAAATTGAGCTAGAGGCGGCGGAAGATCAGGTTAAAATGCTGCACGACGAACTTGACGACAAGCAGGCCAAAAATGACCAGATTCAAGTCGAGCTGACAGAAGCCAGAAGAAGACTCAAAGAAGACGAAGCAGACATCAAGAAGCTAGACGCTGAAATCGAAAATCTACGCCACGAGCTGGATCTAGCGAACCAAAACTGCGACGATCAACGAACCGAGAATCAAGATCTTTTGGAAGCAAAGGAAAATCTTCAGACAGAGGTGACCGATTTGCGTGCAGATGTGAAAGATATGGAGACAGAACTACAAAAACTAGCTAAGGTGAAAGCTGATTTGGAACGAGAGCTGAAGAGAGCCGGTCAAGCACCCATAGAAAGGCGACCTTCACGAGATCTTCACAACGAAAAAGAAAAGAAGATCAGAGAACTGTCAGAAAAAGTCGTACAGTTGGAGCGGGATATACAGAAGGGTGGATACGAACTGACATCACTGAGAGAAGAGAATGATGACTTGCAAGAGAAGATAAATAGCCTAAGGGATGAGAACAACTTCCTCCATTCCAAGTTGTCCCAGCTTGAACATGATAACAGGAGAGATAATAACAAGATCGTTGAACTCGAAAAAGAGAAGCAAGAACTGCAAGATATGTTAGACAACAGCAGTGGCGGAATCGATTCCGGGAGAGACAAAGACCTGACGACAGAAGAGAACAAGACATTGTTAGAGAGAAACAAAAAGCTGCAAAATGATCTAGAACATCTCAAGCAGGAAAAAGCCAACATGAAGAGGCAACTGGATGAGTACAATAGGAGGTTAGATGATAACTCGAATCAGCTAGCCGTTCAGATTACGAAATTTGTTGGAGATCAGAGCGAGACATTCAGGAAAGACGCCCAGGAGAAAGACAACAAAATTGATAAGCTGCAGCAAGAGAAGTTGGAAGTAGAAAAGAAGTTAGAAAGTCTGACAGAGGAGTTGGATGCAGCACAATCTAATCTCAGCGACATTCAGAACCAAAATGAAATTCTTCAGGAGGACATAAAGACCTTAAAGGAGGACAAAGCCAAGCTGGATAACAAACTTATTGAAGAAATGAACTTCAGCAAGGTCAAGACCGCTGAGCTGGAGGCCGAACAGGATATTCTTAAGAACAAGATTAAGGACAAAGACGATCTTGTCAAAAAGTATGAAAAACAACTTCAGCAGCTCCGAGAACAGTTGGCCATGTCTGTTCCCAGCGACCAGGCCTCAACCACTTTGATACTGGATGTAGACAAGCGTCGGAAGCAGCGCCAGCACAGCCTGATGCTGTCCTACCAAGAGGGTTTGATGAACAGGCCAGGTGGACTGTACCGCTCGACAAGTGAAAGCAGTCTCCCCAACGGCGACATCTCCAGGTCAAGCGACAGCGGCAAAAGCGACTTAGAGCACTCTCAGATTGGCGAACTCCTCAGTAAAGAGATCCCGCAGAGTAGACGAAACAGGGACAGCGCACCCAGAGACCACGTAGGTGAGACGGTTGAGGCTACCTCAAAGGTCACTACAGAGTCAGAGCCTGATTATGCCGCACAGTTACGCAGCAGCACGCCAGTCGACGATAATGAAGATATAAAGAGCAGCAGGAGACCATCTGATAGAGATTCTGGAAGCCAACGTTATGGAGGTTACCGGGACAGTGACAGCACTCGAAGCAGAGTCAGTAGCGGTAGAGACAGAGACCGAGATTCAGACAGCATCAGAGGCCGTGAGTCAGACAGGGCTGACAGGCGTTCCGAACGTGGAAAGGACCGCAACAGATCTGAATGCCAGCAGAATTAGGTACAGGAATCAAATAACTGTTGTCAGGATTTATGAACTCTCACAGCAGTGTTCATCTAAACTGTAGTTCAGCACACCATTTCTTACTTAGCTGTCCAAAGAGGAAAGCAGCAGAGCAAAGTGCCAGCAGAATTAGGTACCAAAATTACAAAACTATATCTAATCACTACCGTAGGTTGTACTTCAAAAGTAGTCTTGACTTGAGCTTAAATGTGTTACGCCCTTTTTGGTTAGATGATAAGTCGTTTTTTACTGATTTGGTGGTCAATGCTGATCACAATGAAAGAGCGCTCAATAAGACTCGAAAAGACCAGAGAAGAACTACAACTACTTTTATATCTTAGGGTCTTTAATATTTAGTTACACTGTCACCGGATAGACACGACGACCGTAGAAAGTAAAAAGGTCCTTAGTACATAATTATTAGGATCCTCGTAGTCCAAGCCATTTTAGTTGGCTACAAGTATTTTTTTGAATCATTATTTCTTACACAGTAATAGGGCAACGTGAGATCAGTTGAATGTACCTGGGGGTCCAAAAGCGTGGGGCTGCGAGACTAAAATCTAACCTTGCGCTTGGTTTATACGTCCTCTTTAGAAAGAACAGAATATAAGGCAAGGAATTTAACCCTTCAGAAAAGATATTTCTATTAGATATCTTCAGTTGGAACTACAGGTTCAAAACGTAAATTGAGGATGCCTTTTGAAATGCAAGATTCCAAATTATATTTCTACCTGTTCAAGCGGCGTCCAACTAACATGCACGTTGACAACAAAGTCAGACTTGTTTTTATTACGCTAATGTAATTTCGCCGTATTATGGCAAATTTTTCGCATTATTTTCATTAATATCTATCTCGATGTTATAGCCTTAACCTATTCGTTTGGCAGGATAATAGAATTCGAATGCAAACTAGGAAATTCGTTCGATCTAATTATGCAATGACTAATTTCAGTACACAGTCCGTAGTTACTTACTGCGAAGGAAGATCGACTTCAGCGTGTACTATCCCCTAAGCGTTCTAGTGATGCCCATCCAGTATGTTTTAAGGCGTGTACGTCACCCTGTATCACAGAAAATTGCAGTCGGGTGACGTTTGTATCATAAGTTCATAACATGAAGAAAGAATTGCTTCAGAGGAAAATAATCTCGGAATGAAAACAAAGCTTCTTTTAATCCTTCCTGGCGCGTGCCTTGATCCCAGTAATTCTACGTGTAATACTGTGGGCACACGAAACAAAGCACACTTATTGAGGGATGACCTTTGATGAAATTTGTTTATGTATAACTTAGAACTCCATTATCCTTGTAGACGAACTAGTTTTTAAACAACCTCGTCCGCGTAGTGGGCGAAGGCTGTGCTATACTTAGAAATGAATATAGCATTTTTTGCTGATGTATACTAATAAAAGTCTTTTGTTTTCTTAACAATGCGCCTTTGGAAAATAAGTCTGCATACAAGCCAAGTGGCGACCATCAGATGC